ACAACATTACTAACGTACTAAACATATGAGCAACAAGCCGTGATGAGTTGTCCTTACCGAGTACCACAAAATACGGCAAATGCGGCACAACTGGTAAAAATACTCAGCGATACTACACAACAAAATATCTAATAAGACAGATCTATATGAATAATTTAACTCCAAAACTTTGCAAGTGCAATTTTAATGGTATTATTTTTCTCAATAACACAAACTGCCCTCCTTTTTTCACAGACTAAATCAAATGTTCAATTTCATAGCATGCGTGAGAAGAACGAGAGTTGTAGTTAGTACGCTTGTACGTAGGTATTCATGCTTGCTCGAGAGGTTTAGTACGCTAGTACGTTAGTATGTAGGTATTCATGCTTGCTCAAGAGGTTTACTTAGTACGCTAGTACGCTAGTATGTAGGTATTCCTGCTCGCTCGAGAGCTGTAGTTAGTACGCTAGTGCGCTAGTACACTAGTACGTAGGTATTCTTGCTTGCTCACTCGAGAGCTGTAGTTAGTACGCTAGTATGTAGGTATTCATGCTTGCTCGCGAGAGGTTTAGTACTGTTAGTACTGTAGTACTGATGAAAGCTGTTAGTACGGTAGTACTGATGAATAAGCAAAAATCTACAGAAAAGCATTCCTATAATGGGCAGCATATGCTAGATATCACAAAGTGTCAGAATACAAAATATGCATCTGATGCCACTCTCTAACATTAATACTTTAACTCTGAGATCTGATTGTAAATTCTCCTCTCTAGCTGTTATGCATTTCCTTGAAAATTATTTATGAGAATTTGGTGTTAGATCAAGATAACAACTGTTTGCTGGATTCTATTGATATCAGAAGGATAAGTTACCTGTCATTCAATATTTAACAATATTTGCCAATTATTTTTTAAGAAGTGTCTTTTTTCTGCTTTTTATAATTATTATTTTTTTAAATTAATTTTTGCAGTGTATATGTTGTAATCATTTTTATATTTCGATTTTAGCTCAAATTTCTATATTTTAATTGTATTTTTATATAATACACATCTAGTATTTAGGACCTCTATGTAAACCACTACTGTGATAGAGCTTCCTAATAAAAGATTGTTACATGTATTATTATTAAGGTGAGGTGAATATTGTCGAAGTTGAGGGGATTATTCGATGATATTCACGAAACCTGAGGCGAATAATTGTTTTAGTATAATTTCAGAGCTGAGCAACAGAGAAATTTCTAAAATTATAACATTTATTAACATATTTTATTTTAACATTTTATATAAACCATGTGGAGTGGTTTATATAGCGTCATATAAGGAGCCGCTCGACCAATCAGATTGCTGGAAACTATTTGCTCAGCTCTGAAATTATACTAAAACTTAATATAACTTTCACTTCTAACTCCTATAAATTGAGTGCATTTATTATAATGCTACTGTATAGATTGTTCTTCTACATGGTGATCAGTACTTACATCATAAATCGACTGGTGTCACTTGTACCACACAAACAATAAACTGCATCATCCTTCTTGGACTTTTCTTCCTAAATTGTTAGAATGACAAGAATCAGTAGCTGTATCTGTATAAAATAATTAACACCACTTACAAGAATTGTTTACAAATATTACTAAAATCAGATTAAACTTTACCTACAACCACAACTACCACTACTATGATTACTTCTTACTGCAACACAGATTTGAACACAACCCACAACATAATAATTATTTTCAATTGGTTAATCTTGGTAGTTATTGGTAACGAATACATGGGGAGTTACACTAAGCTAGAAGATGTAATAACTATACAGTTACAAGTCTGGTTTTATCTAAGCAGGCGGAGCAAATGATAACTAGTCAAATGGCCATGAAACAAAAGGTGGAGAGGGGAGCTAGAGGTTATGATAAAAAATACTGTTGAAAGCAAATTTAGTAATAAATACAGCTCAGGGCTCAACAATAACACGGTAGCCAACTAGACACAGTCTAATAGAAATTCAGTTTTGGCTAGTGATTTTCGATTTCTAGTAGCCAGTCTGACTAGGAAACAAACTGAAATTGTCGTAACATCTAAGACATCACAAGTCTCTGGGCTGGTAAGTTGAAAAGTTAGTGTCTGGCCCTGCAGCTATGAGGCTGTACAATAATTACTGGTGTTGAATTTCAAGATGATAGAATAGGAACTTTTACCTTAGCAGCCTCTGCCTTCTCTTGTGCCGCAATTAGGTAATTCACCTTTGCTTGTCGTTCAGGTAAGATGTTAAATTTACGAGCTACCTCCTTTAGCTTTGGAAATAGAGCAAAGATATTGAAGAAAAAATGAAAATTCAACCAGATTTGATCTAGGATCTTGGGATACAACTTGATGTATTATTGAAACAACTTAGCTAAGGAGCCTCTTGATCGATGGGGGTTGGGCAAAAGCAGGCACATGCACTTATGTGTAATGAACGGGATCAAATGAGGATTCTAATTTTTTTTGTCCCACTTAACTTCAATCTGTATAATTCATTGCAAAGATAAATCGACCATTTCATTTCATCTCGGTAGTTCATCATCAATTTTAGAGCAAAACATCAGCTGCAACTGACATGCAGTGTCGCCATGGTGCAGTTAGTTAAGGCATCGTATCATGTCAGGACTGAGGGGCGTGAGGTTAATGGCTCAAATACCCATATGGTCCCAATTTCTTTAAGGCTTACTTTGTAAAATTAAAATTTGTACAATCAGTATAATGGAAAAATAAAGCTACCATATTTGAATGTTATCATTATAATCAAATACATAATTCTTAATAACATGATTTCATTTGCACATTCAAAACCTGACTGCTCGATCAAAGATTTGGGTCAAATTGGAAAAGATCGCCTGGAAACATTCTAATAATTAGAGAACCTAATTACAGAGGGTGAACAAAGATTCTTGGATGTTCTTTTGAAATACCTTTGAGCCGCTGCCTTCCATTTCCTCAGCCATCTTGTTTTGAGTGTCTTGAGGACATGCGCAGGAAACCTGCTTGGTAACCAGTCATGTGAAAGCTGAGTATCCGTACCTCCTTGGCTAATTTCTTAAAAACAAGATACATGTGAGCTAATTTTAACTGAAATTACCCTTCGCTTTTGCCAATAAACGAAAGGTTTGTATCGAGAAATACGAAATGAAGTGAATTATTTTAGCTAACGTTTTATTCACAGGTCATTCGTTGGAAGTGACTCGGATCTGTCTTCAGAAAGCCACACTTACTCGCTACACATCGCCGCCATCTTGGGACTATTGGCATCGTTTTTCTCTCAGCTTGCACTTAACGTCGAAATATCATCCTTGTCTTCGTGTCGAAAGAGATGAACGTTCCGAATCTTGTTTTGGGTTGCATTTACCTCACTAGATCGTTTTACTGAACATTTATCCTCGTATCAATTGCAGGTCACTGTTGTAATTGGTCGATCGATCGCAGGATTTGTAGGTCGCTCCTGATCTTCAATTCCAAGTTTATTGGCGGACAGTTTCCTTGTTCAGAAGTTAACAAAATGGACATTAGGCGGGAAGACACCGCTGAAAGGTTCTGAACTTTATGTCTAACATAATTCAGTGTTGTGAAATGTGGTTTGTTTTGTATCCATGCAGTATAGTTCACTGCATATTAAATGGTGATTGTTACATTTGAAAGAGTAAAGGTATTATCATCATCTTTTTGTACTATTCTGGATTTTCGTGCATCAAAAACGGGAATTACGTTTTGAGGATTTGGCATCTCAAATCACAGATAGAGTCTATGAGACCCTACTCCAAGCTTGACCTCTGACCCTTCGCTGCTGCATGATCCCAAGGTGTGGTTGCTTGGATTCCATTGGCTTACGGCAAACAAATTGTAAGAATATTCCACTAGGCCTTACCAGGGACTTATTGTAGGGATCACAAAGGTCAAAAGTCAAAGGTTGTTTTGATATCCCAAGGTGAGTAAGGTCACAGAAAAGTGTTTTTTCAGTCTAGACTCACTTTTTCCATCCTTGGTTTAAAATACTGATGTAGGATGACGGATGACCCTAGTGATCTAAGGCGCAGTTCAGACTACAGAAGTAATGGCCGCAGTAAGGATTCCAGAGACCGCGACCTTGAACGTGACATTGGCCGCGAGCTGAGCCGTTTTAGGGACATCAGATCAGACAGAGATGAACGTCGAAGAAGTCCCGATTTAAGGCGGGGTGATGCAGCTGATCCTTTTGGTCGCGATAGGGATTATTACAAAGAAAGAGTTAGGGATAATGAGCATGATAAAGAGAGAATTAGAGATAGATATAGGTCTCATGACAGAGATCGCTATGATCGTGACAGCCGCAATAACCAAGATTGGGACAGAGACCGTTATGATCGTGATCGCCAAGATCGTCCTGGTGACTTTGATGGTAGCAAAGATTATGGAAGGCTCAGAGAGCGAGACAATGACAGGGATCGTGACCGCGATCGTGACCGTGATCGGGACAGAGGCCATGATAGAGACCGTGACTGGGATTTTGATAACAGAGACAGAACAGGATACTCCAGCAGGAATTGGAAGAGGAATGATGGATATCACAGTGACGAAGTTGTACACTTGTTCCTTATTTTGGGAAATAATTTACATCCTGTTTTTGATCAAATTTGAAAGAAATTGTGATAGTTTTATTTTCTTGTAAGTTTATCAAAGGTAAAAGTTTTCTCCCCCCCAAAATTAAAATACCACCTATTAGAGGTATATGTTCAAATGCTGGGCACCGTACAAAAATAATGTATCTGTAGGTGGTACAGATCCCTTCTAATTTGAACTGAATCAGTTATCTTTGTGATCACAAACCTTGCAGTTTAATGACATAGGGGAAGGACTTGATCTTTTTTGTTATATTTCAAGTTTATTTCTATTGTCAACTTGACACAGTGATTAATTATTGTTTTCAAAAGCTTTCTGATTCCAAAGACAGCATGTTATCTCTCATTGTTTCTTCAAATCAAGAATATGAACAAGAATCTTTTGGATCAGTTTTGTCTCTAACACCAGCAGTTTTTGTCTTTCTGTACACAACTAAATAATCCTTGTTATCAATGACCCTAAATTTAGCATGACCGCAGTGACCGTGATAGAGACTATGGAGACAGGGAGCCTTTGCGTGGTAGATACCACTCTCGTGACAGGGATGGAGATGACAGAAGACTGCTGGACAGCAGGCAGGAAGAACCGACCAGTGTTATTATTCTACATGGGCTTGATAAGGACTTCAGAGAAGAAGATGTAAGTATTCGAATCAGCTTAATATATAGCTGTATCAGAAATGAAGTAAACAAACCAAGTTAAACTCGTCCACAATAGATGAGTGTGGTGATGGTGCCTAAATGTAAGTTGAAGCCATAAGCCCAGCGCAGAGGCAAAATGGTCTGACCTCAGAAAGAGAGCTGTAAGTCACATGGGCCCCCGATAAAACTGGTAGACTGCGCTGCATCCTGAGGGAGACTGCTGACCAGCATCGTCTTAGCTAAATTACATTTGGCCACACTAAACAATTATACCAGCTGAGCCAGTGGCCAAAGGGTGGGGATTGGGCGAGTGTCTTGTAACTGCAAAAGTTATTTGAACTTCTTCAGAATGAAAATAATTGTATTATAAATTAAATTGATTCTTTACTTCTAGATGATAGAGGAGTTACAAAGGGATGGTACAGACTTTTTGGATCTTAGAGTGGTTCGCCACAGAAGTGGTAAAGAACTCATTGTTGACTTTGTTCTGTAGCGTTCACATTCTGTTTCATTCATTCTGGTGCATTCACATTCTTGCCATGCCACCTTGTCAGCCATCTTTTCATGGCTGTTCTTCTTGGTAAATAGTCAATATCCAACATATTATATGGCAAGGTAGTCTTGAGGAAAATCCAAGTATTCTGATTGGTTGAAATATGAATGGTTCCAATGGAAACAGTCATAAGCTATGTATCTTTGGTTTCTGCAGCCAGCAAATTCAAAATAAACAGGTTTGGTCAGAGTGCAATACAATTAACTACTTATTAACTTCAAATTTCTGAGAATGTTATGTTATTTTTTTTACCTCAGGTATTTCCAAGGGGTTTGGTTTTTTAGAGTTCAAAAGTGTTTCCGATGCTCAGGACTGGATGGAAATTCACAAGGTATATCTACCAAAATATTTGTACACATTTGTATTAGTAAATGGACACGACTATATATTGGTTGTCATCAGTGCAGAGAACACTTAGATAAGCAGTGGGGAAAAATTGTCAAGAGAGTTTATTAGAGGGGAGGGAAAAGGCAGACAGATTTCAGAAGGGAGCTTATTTGAGGATGGGGGGGGATCAAAAGAGATTGGAGGATTAAAGAAATTTCTCATGTTTTTATACTATTCTGGTTTTGTTATTCCTTTCTTATCACTACTAATTTGTGAATCAAAGTTTTCTGTGCTAAATTCTGGAGAGGAGATCATGGGAAAACTTAGATATAAGGCTCAGAATTCCCATCAGGACTATTTGATGTAGGGAATTTCAGTTTACACAGCCACGACAGTGTTTGATTTGCTTTAATTAGAAAGGACTGTTACTTTCATGCCAGTAGTGTGTAGCATAGTCTAATAAATTTCTATAATGAGGGAGATATGTAATAAATGTTAAATTTTTATTTGTGGATTTGGTTAGGGGAGGTATAATGTCCATGGACACAGAGTCTGTGCTGATTACAGCAGACCTAAAGCTACCTCAAATGTTGCAGATAAGGACTGGATTTGTAGTAAGGTGAGATTTAATAATGCGTAGCCCCCAAGAAGCTAATGCTGTTAAGTATAAAGCAAAAGGTATAATATCTCTTTCATATGCTGTTTTCTAAGGGAATTTTATTAAAAAGACATTATACCATAATTTCCGGCTGTTTACCCATGGGTAATCTGTTGATTTTGCCTTAAACACGCGCTACTGCGGGTAATAGGGAGGTGAGGGTTATGTGACAATTTTGAAATCTACTGGGAGTTGAATGGAGAAAAATTCTCACCTACCTGCGTTTCCACCTCTCAGATGAATTTTATCATATTTAGAGTGCCACAAAGTGGCACGAAAACATGATGCAGACTCGAGTTTATTTCACACAGTTACGCGACAAACAAATTTTTATCGGCACGCGCGTAAACAAAACCTTGATGATGACAAAAATAATCCAAGGATAACCAGCGCATCTGTAACAAATTTCCAGTTAACACTAGCTTGAGCTGAAGAGAATTTTCTCCTTCTAAGGGACTTTTTAGGCCCAGTAGAACCGGAGATATCAATCTTTTTGAGAAATCAACAAAGCAACATGGCGCTGAATGATCACTCACACAAAATGTGGCCACGAATTTGCATTCCATCAAGAATGAAACGTTGTGATTTCTAGAGCCTTTTTGTACAAAATTCCTTTTCTTTAAAGGTGCGGGTTATCCACCAGTGTGGGTAATCTGTTGACTCTTTTTTTCACCGCATGCAATAATTGGCCAGTGTGGGTAATTGGCCGTGTGGGTAAATGGCCGGAAATTACGGTACTGTTAAAGCCTGCCTATAAGCCGCACTTTTTTTCCAAATATTGTTGCTAGAAATTGGGGGTGCGGCTTATCTGTGGGAACATTTGAAAAATGTGTCGTGGATGTCCATTTTCATATCCAATCTAATGTCTGGTTACTAAGCTTCAAGTATTCTGCTCATGTCCTTGTTTTATTGCATAAATCTATGGAAAAACTGTGTTGAATGAAGAAATTCCTGTCAACAAATACCATAAAAAGACCAATCATATGTCAAAGTTGGTAGAAATCATGTGCATTATATTAAAGTTTTAAAATTGTGGGTAAGACTTTGAAGTATTTTCCATTACAATGTACTGAGTTTACGTTCAATGAACAGTGGATCGAGAAGACTTTGGATTTCATATGATTTCTCTCAAGAAACTTTTTCCAAAATTTGAGCTGCTAAATTCAGGGTGCGGCTTATCTGCAGGTGTGGCTTATCTCCAGGCTTTTACAGTAATCAAACCAGCCTAATAGGCAGGCCCTAGTTTGAACAATGCCATGGGATTGATAAATCTTTATCTGATGAACACTGAAAACCAAAAAAGGCCCTGAGTTTCTGTGTCATCTAATTTGTATTCAAATAGTGTGGTGGTCAGAATTTTTCCTCAAAGAGGCGTCTGTCATGCTTCAAGTGTGGAGCACCAAAGGAGAACAGTATTGCTGGTTAGTACCAAATTCTTATCTGATACATTTTTATCCCAAAGTATGCATTAGTGGTCTTAAATGCATAGTCAAAAATCTTTTTCCAGGGGAGTACAAACTCTAGAAATACATGTACATAGATATTACAAGGTGTCAAGCCCTTTTAGATATTGTAACCCAGAGAAATAACCATACTAGGCATTCTTTTGGCTCCTTTTGGAAAAAACAAGAAATTCTGTATCAATTAAATCTGTTTACTGCTGTTTTCTCTTCTGTTTTATTTTGACTTTTTGTCTTTACCTTCTTCCTTTGCTGACCTTTTCTTCACCTTGATTAACACCACACTTTGCATTTTAAGGCCTACTTGTACCTTGTTTTGAATATGATTGGTTTTTGAAGTTTGTGAGAAGTCAAAAATATGCAGTGAAAGATACCTTACTCTGGCTTGTTTTCCACCCTTGTTTAGATTTGGGGGATGATAAGGAAGTTTCAAATAATCCATGTAAAGGTAAAAGGTTTGAAATTTTTCAATGTCATACTAGCAAAAACTTCAAGTTGAGAGTTTTCATTGATTTAGTAGTTTGTTTCTGCCACTGTGACAATACTTTTTTCTTTGGTGTACAAAGGAAATTGAACAAAATTTGAAATAAGATACATGTATGAGTGTTTTTACTGTAAGGGTATATAGTGCTGAGCATTGAATTTACAGCTCTGGGCAAAACTGATGACATTGTTTCTTTGTTTCTGTATTATTGTAGTACTTATTCTGAGGGGCTTGGATACTATCACTAATGATGAAGCGGTAAGATATGCTTACGACACAATTTTGAAATCTGCAAGATTGTGATCATCGTCATTATCTTTCCTTTAGTGTCAAGCAAAGCATAAGACCAATCAGCATTGTGATAAATATGATGTTATTACTCCATTGTTTTTCAAATTTAAATGGTCACTAGATACCATGTCTGTCTTCTTGCTGTACTTGAGTCGAGAGTTACTGTTTGTCACAAATTGCTTTCAGACATGAAAACTGAACCTAAGCAATTGCTTTATTCATTGTGGTGTGTTGTTGACTTTCAGATACGAAAAGCCCTTGTGGAAATCACAGCTCTTCCTGTCTATGATGTTCGTCTCATTAGAGATAAATTAACCAACACATCTAGAGGATTCTGTTTTGTCGAGCTTGGTTCAGTTGAGGTACATGAGAAAAAGTAACTTATTGTCTGTTTTGGATACTAAGATACCATTAATTTTGAATTAAGCAAATAAGAAAGTGGTTAAGCTGCTGCTCCTTGTGAGTCCACAACTTTTTGACTGCTGTGGGGATGAAGTGAATCCTGTGTTCTGATTGGCTACCCGAGCAGGCAATATGGGCCTATCTTGCCTACTTGAGATTGCCTGCAGTGATCTCGCACATGAAAAAAAAAATAGAACTAATACTGCGTTGGTAATTCTTGGACAATCTTGTTGATGGAAATGCGAAAAGTGGCAGAAGATAGTCAAAAGAAAGAAAACAGAATTGACTCGTGAGTTTGTTGGCTTTGGAGTTGGTTTTCTTTCCTGGCTCTTGAAGTAAACAATTCATTCTTAATTCTTAATAAAGCAAAATCTCTTTGCAATATAATAAATCCTTTATTGACCAAGCCTGTTGGGTCAAGATGGCTGGATATTAGCCTTGTTCTTTTTTCACATTTCAACTCTGTCTTGGTCCATAAAAATGCAAAAAAAGAACTTGGCCAATATCCAGCCATCTTGACGTCACATTCGGTTAATAACACATATTTATTTCAAGAGGGTAACACGGAATAGTTACTGAAACTAGTAAATTTGTGTTCATCTATCTAACATTAAAGTTACAACAACATATTCTAAATATACAAAGTCAAAGTATAAATTAAATAAATAAAACTAAGTAAATATAGAAGTTCTACATCAATATGAATAAGTATAAAAGCTAATGATATGGCTAGAGAAATATATACAGATTATGATTAAAGTATGAAATGGTGTAATTTCATGCGGCTCTTTGAAGAAGATATTTCCATAGTTATTCTTAAAGGATTCTAGCAATGCTGCATTTCTAAGATCTAGGCTTTTGCTGTTCCAAAGTTGACAAGTAGTAACTGCAAATGTCCTATGGCCTCCAGTCAGCCGATTAAATTTTCGGCAAATGAAGTTTATATTACTATATCTAGTTACAGGACTATGTTGCTGACTGTTGAGTCTTAAGTGGTCTTCAATATACAAGTGAACTCCACCCTTGATGCATTTGTATGCTATACAACATTTAGCCATTTTCACTTCTTCATAAAGAAAGAAAAGTTTCTTGCTCAAGAAAATAAAAAATCCCAGGCCTTTTGATGTTGAGTCCACAAAACCTTCCAGCACATGCCTGCCCCAACTTACTTTAGCTATATCTGGAATGTGTACCATTGCACAGTTTGTTAGTGTCATGAGATACCAACCTTATGTGTAGCACAGATTTGTATTAAACTGCATGATAAAGACTAATTTAGTGACATAAGACATATCATTCTTCTTTGTACAGGAAGCAAGTCAGTTATTGGAAATCATCACCAACATGCACCCCCCTTTTACTATTGATGGTAGAATTGTTACGGCATCTTATGCCCATCATGATAATCCACCAAAAACTACCACGTAAGTGGACCTTTTAGCTCAGTTTGTTCTGCTTATAGAATGAGAGGAATCAAGATGGATGAATGAGCTTGTTTGTGTAGCGTGAACTTCTAAGGTGTGTTGAGGACCTATTTGCACTTTTTTCTGCCATCAACAGAGCTTCGGCAGCATCAGCAGCCATTGAACAGGCACAGTGGTCACAGACTGCCATTGGATCCCAGCCTCAGGTTTCCTCAAGTACTGTTGCTGCCAATGCCATGGCTCAAGCACAGGCTGCTGGCACCATGGGTACAGTGACAGCTGCTACTCAACAGACATATGATGCAAAGGTTACAACCCAGCAGCAACAGGTATGACTTTGACATCACGTGGTACCTTATCAAAAATAAAAATGAAAATATCTTCTTAGAATACATAGACATGAAGAAGTACCTGATAAATGTTCCTGGATTTTAGCAATTAGGCATCAGAGATGTGCCTCTTCATTATGTTCCTTTAGGTGGAATGATAATAATGATAATGGCAATAATAATAATAATAATAATAATAATAATTTTTAATAATAATAATTTTCACTGCTAATCGCCATCGCAAAGTACAGCAACGACACAGCTCAACAAGGTCAAACCGAAAGCTTACAATGGTGCCTCAGGCAGCCACTGTACAGCCCATGTGTGATCAGTGGTCATGACGCATATGGGCTTGTCTGTAAATTGGGTATTTCATTGGCTTAACTTGCATTCCCCATTACAACATACATGTAATCCAGGACATGCTGAACTTTAAGCCACCATAAATCTTGTGCAAAGAGGTGTTTTTCACATGTTATGGTTTACTTCACAATGATCATTTTTGTTTTCATTCTTTTGCAGAACCAACAACAGCCTGTGGCAGGTATGGCTACCTTCATGAGCCTTTTTATGGTTACATATGAGACAGTGGTTTGCAGTCATGATCATTCTAGATTTTATGAGTGGGGCACCAACAGTGTATGAATATTTTTGCTGAACAGAACTAATTTTTTTAATTTGTTCATTTTCTTATCACTTAAGGTACAGGGACAACTGATCAAGCCCAAGGTAATTTTTGTTTTGCAGTGATCATAATTTTTTTAACTTTTATTGTTATCCTTTTGCTGAGATTTTTTCACTCCTGCATCAGTTAGGAGGTGGATGTAGTTACCTAAGACTGAATGGCAATCGTATGGTTTTGTAGATTTTCATCAAGTACTGTATTAACCCACAGATAGGCCCCACCCATGTATAGGCCACACCCCAAACTTTTGATTCATCTTGGTGAAAAAAAAAGGAATTAGTGAACTGTGATCAGAAATTGGGTAGCTATAGTAATGTAACGCATTAACAAAGAAAAATGGTAAAATTTGTAAAGCACATGAACAAGAGATCACAAAGGCTTTCACTTGGAGTGAGTGAGATGGAAAACACCTCTGGATTTACATGTACTTTATTTGTTTCCATTTTTTCTTACCTATGACATGCAGATTTTTATCTCAAAACTGTGAAAAGTACCTGAAAATATGCACTGGACATGCCTAGTATTTACCTTTGCCTCTGAAATTTCACTTTCCCTAGTTCTGATTTGACAACTACATATACCTCTGTCTTCAGGTGGCACTGCACAGTACCAACAACAAACTCAAGCTCAAGCTCAGGGGGATTCAACACAGTCACAGCAGCCACAGGCCTTTGCTTCATCACCATCATTTGCAAACTATGTTTATGACCCAGCCTCTGGTTACTATTATAATTCGACAACAGGGTTATATTACGACGCAAATACTCAGGTATTACTTTGGTCCAAGTATAACTTGGATATTTATGGCAGGATATCCATGAGACCATTCTCATAACATTTTGTTTTCAAATTCAATCGTAATATTGGTATGAATTTTCTGAACTTTTAAAGTCCTAAGATCCAATCTGAATCTCTCCTTACTGACTGCCATGCAGTTCCTTGTAAGTTAGACAGGGGAATTCAGTGTCGTATCAATGTAACATCGTTTACATGACAAGCTTGTCTCCTCTTATAACCTGTTGGCAAGATAACTTCGGAATCGCAAAGAGAAGTTAATCAGTATTGGGGTTAAAAGTTTAAGGACAGAGGGAGGAAAACCAACAAAACAATATAAGGCTTGATTGAAAAGTTAGGAGTATGTCGCAGATCACAGCAATTTTTGAAATAGCTTGTGATTCACAGCTTTGGAGAATGATTAAGGTGAGTCAGCCAATTTTCTCTGGTCTCACTCTTGTTCCCACAGTATTATTACAACAGTGCTACTGGACAGTATCTATATTGGAATGGTGAAACACAGCAATATGTCCCAGTGGCTGCTGATGGGTAAGCTCAGTCCCTGTTGTAAATTTATCAGTAGGTAACACTTTCAAGTGTTCTTATGCGGTCCATATGGTACATGAGTGGAACAGTCTGCTGAGAACTAAGATTGAAGCCAGGAGTTTTAAAGAATTTAATCATGGACTTGAGCCTCTTTTTAACTTGCTGGTAGTCTCTAAGCCAGTTTTACTGAATATTTCAATGTATGTTAATGTAGATCAATAGATATATAGATATTTTTAAATGTAATCCCTGTCTTTTAAAGGTGAATCATCATAGGGTCAACCTCTGTTTCTTCCTTTTCGAGATGTATTTTAATTTGTTGCCACTGTATCTTGAATAAAAATTTACCAGTATACTATATCATGTTATAGGTGACTTAGAGCTTAACTCCGCAGTCATGTCTTAAATGCATGTTTTGAAAATGGGTTAGGTCAGTTTGTCTAAACAGTTTTTCCTAATAATTATTTTTCTTTTCTGTGATGACAATGACCATCTTAGGACCATCGTCACATCAGGCTCTAGTACCACTGAAACTCTCACTAGCAGCGAAGCAGCATCAGTCAAAGGTGGGACTTCTACTAAGCAACTACCATTTGTGTTGTATCTCATGTTTGCTGAATTGAAGTACAGTTGTGAATTCAGGCCTTGAAATAATGGCTGGTCAGCAGATAATGTTTGGGCAATTGTAGGTTTTGTGTGGTCAACTCGTTGGATGGTGAAACGTTTTGTCTGCCTTTTTACGTATGTAGAGAAGAATTTCATTCCAAGCTAAATTTTATGTTTTAAATCTAGCTGTGTATCACTTTTCTTGCTTTGGGTTTGAAGTTGCATGTGCAATAGAAATGTGTCTTGTATGGGGGGGGGGAGGGATCTATTGAGATAGGATGAAATGGATATTTTTCCAGCCAAAAATGGGTTGTGTCCAACAAAAACACAAAACTTTATGTTTGACCAGACAAAGTGACTAGTGTTAGCCAGGACTTTATTTTAAGCCTCGGGACTAAAAGTCGTGGTTTGGGGTTATTTTAGCCAAGGTTTGGGCCGTACATTTTTTACGATGAAATCAGAGTTTGATCTATGACTTAAGCTGTAACCTGTTTCTTCATAATACAATTATAATACAAATACAGGCAACAAATTAAATAAAGAATGCTGTTTTGCAATTGCAGAAAAGCAGAAAAAAGCAAAATCACTGCAAGCTAAAAAGGTCTGTGATAACTTATTTGTAACTTAAGGGTGTTAAACATTTACACCCTAATGTATGCATCAATATGCAGTCTCCAGTTTGTTCTCAATGCATTTCCTAAGGTGTTGCCGAGGAGATTTGTTTGAAAATCAAGAGCGTCTCTAATTGGTGATCATTTCCTTTATTCTCTTGACCTGAATGTGTGATTCAGTGGCAAGACTGTAAGGAGAAAGTAGATAATGATCACTCTTAGGGTTTAAAGATTAAGATTAGAGAGATTTAGCATCGCGTTTACGCGAAATGGGAATCGTCAGCTTGTCCTTTCACGTTTCGCGTAAAATAACGTGACCCTTGCTGCTTTAGCTTCGCGTGAGCTCACGTTATGGTGAATTTCAAGGCGCCCTTGTATGAATTACAAGGAATAGTTTTGGGGCCCTTTTTCCGGAAATTAACTTCTACTCTGCGAGAGAAAAAGTAAAGAAAATCTTACGTATACGGCAAGCGCGAGACTGGTTACTTTCACGTTGAAAGAGCAAAACGCAACCGGCAAGCGTGAAAAAATGGCGGGAAAAAAACAAGCTCACGAGGTCATTCTTGCCGTTCCCGTTTCACGTAAACACGGTGGCAAATCTCTCTATTATTAAGGATCTTGGCCTCCTAGGGTGTTTTGTCTCAGTAGTATTCTTGTTCACGTAAGTATATACTTTCTTTGCTAGTAATTTTGATTATAAAAGGTACTGATTTTTTGTAATTTCCCTTGTTAAAATTCCCTCTTAAAATTCTTTGTTTTATTTTAGATTGCAAAAGACATGGAGAGATGGGCGAAGTCTGTGAATGCAGCAAAGACCCAAGTTGATGATTCCAAGAAAGGATCTTTTGTTCCTGTGTCAAAACCAGAGGAACCTAAACCTGACACAGATGTGTTTAAAATGGTAGGAGAGCTCATAGCAGAAAAAATGTCCAAGAAACAGTAGAAAATAGCATGTGCAATCCGCAGGAGTTCTTCAGACACTCAGTGACAAAATTTAGCAGTTGTTAAACTTCTCTCAACTGTTTTTGCTCCAGATTTGTGAAACCGGTAGGTTTTATATTCAACTCTCAGTGCTGCTGTTTATGCCATACAAGTTTACCCTGACTTTCACACTTTACACCTTAACATCAGTTTGCATATTCTCCGTAGTGACAGTTCTCTATACATTTTCTAAAGTGCTGACAAGGAGAATTTGTCTAACAATCTAGAGCTTCTTTAGTTGGTGATCATTTCCTGTATTCTCGTGACCTTAATCTGTGATTCAGGGGTGATATTGTAAGGAGAAATTAGATTTTTTTTTTTTCACTCTAAGTGATCGAAGGGGTAAAAATCATATGAGCAGTTTAGTTAAATGGGACGGCTTGTTGTACTCTTTCAGGTGGTTCTGACTCAAACGTGTATATAGTATGGTTTTGTTTACTTATTACAGCCATTTGGACCTCCCCCTAAAATTTCGACCTCACTAAACATAGCCAAGAGCATTGCAGCTGGAATGCCAGCGGAAGTTAATGATAATGTGGCAGCGTCCAGTCCTTTGGCGGCCTTAAGCATGGTCCAAGACACCAAGAGAACAGGTATTTCACTAAAACAGTTATGTGCCTCTTTTTGGAATGTTAAGCTAGTCTTGTGTTGTTGTTTAGAAATCATTGCTATATTGTTAAGTGAACTCTTGGTCTGCTATTGGTCTCTGATTTCTGTGACATGAAGAGGTTACTTAAGGCCATTCTGATACAATGTATATATGAAGTCCATATATTTTGAACTGCGGTATTAGATACGTATGATGCACGATCCTCGCAGGAGAGAGCGCTATTTATGCAATAGCGAAAAATCAGACCTGAAAAAAAAAAAAATCATACATCATACGTATCGAAGCCAACTGGGAACAGGCCGTTAAGTTGATTCGTAATAAACCCGTGATGATAAATCAGATACAATGTATATATGAAGTCCATATATTTTGAACTGCGGTATTAGATACGTATGATGCATAGATTTGCGTTTCGGGAAATTGCGTTTCGGAAAATTCTTTACATATCCTTACTGCGATTTCGCACGTAACTAGCACGCGCAGATTTAAAAATGGCGGCTGCTTCTCCATGGTTGGAGTTCCCCAGAGATGTGAATCGTCATTTTCTGGCAAACAAGCATGATGACCTATTAATTTTTTGTTTAATTGAGCAATGACTTTCCTTCCGCGAAATAAATCGAAACCAATTCTCAGTTTAGTAAAAGGAGCAATTTTCCGAAACGCAAATCTATCAAGTACTCGAAAATATTATCGTAATGATATTATAGGAATTATGTGGGTATCAACCAGGTATTTCTGCTCCTAAACGGGTACGGGAGCCCCACTTTTTCATTTCAAGATTTGCGTCCTTAGGAGATAAACCTTCACTAGGTAAAGTTTGACAAAAAATCTTAGCAAGGCTATGCACTAAGAAAAGGTGAAGGAAGCCCACTGCTCTGAAACTTTGAAATAAAAAAAAAACTAAAATTCCTAAGTGACCAAGAGTGAAAGTAAGGCGCTAGGGGCCACCAGGCGCTGCTAAACCACATTCCCGCTTAGGGCAGGTTCTATTTCAGAAATGTGATTTTAAGCTCACTCATTTAAATTTAGTATCAATAGCTTGTCAGTTTGCCGTTGTTGTGTTGTTATCTTATCCTGTTTGCGTTTGTATTTCACAGAGCCATCAAAAAGTGCTATTGTCGCTGAATATGGCGAGGATGACTCAGATCCTGAAGATGATGTCAACGATAAATTTGCTGACTTGAGTATCATGGCGTGTTTGCTTTGCAAACGACAGTTCCCGAATAAAGAAGCTCTGGAAAGACATCAGAAATTTTCTGACTTGCACAAGGTGATCGAGTTTAATGGAACGTTTATTTTCCCCTTCACACTTTTACTCCCAAGGTCTGATTTTAAATTTTCCTCTCTGGCTAGTACACTTTTCCTTGTGAATAAGTTACAAGAATCTGGTGTTGAATCGAGATAATAACCTCTACTTGATAAGTTTGAGCATTCTCATTACCTGTTTACTAGATAATGTGTGGGTATTCCCCACTCCAGAAACTATTGGGAATCTGGGCACGAACTTGACTCGCAGGGTCGTCTGAGATCGTTTGGGTGGACGCGCGAAACTTCAAAATGGCGGTAGCGAGGAAAGTTTTCGCAAAACACTAAAGAAAAAAATGGTAAAACATGCTAATTGTTGTGTTCCTGGATGTACGAATAATTACAGAACCAAGGATGGGCTTTCGTATTACCGAATTCCAAAGGACAAAAAATTACGAAGACAGTACGAAATTCTAATTCGTAATGCAACATTAAAAATCGACGCTGATAATACATGTATTTGTGGCGATCACTTTGAGGGTGGACATAAGCGCAGCTGGCTTCATTTACCTTCGATTTTTCCATGGTCTAAGCATGTGGAAACTCGACGTATTTTAAAGCGTGTTTCTTCCGAAAAAAAATGTAAAGAAAGTCCATTCCGAAGACCCCTTGCCAGAAAGTGATCTCTGTAAGACGGAGGATGTGCTGCTCACAAGTGATCAAGGTATGCAAACGGAACAAGTACACAGCAAAGATGAATCTTTGCAAACTGAATGTTATGAAGAGGTAAAAGTAAATTTTTCCACCCAAACGGGACTACTTAGATTTGACATTAATCAGTTCAAAGATAAGGACTCAGACATTGCTTTTTACACTGAATTTCCCAATCATAAAACACTAATGCTTTGCTTTGGTATGGTGAAAGATGCAGCGAAAAACATGAGCTATGGAAATTATTATCGAAAATGTTTTGATTGCCCCCCAGTTTTGCAACCAATCTAAAATAAACCGTAAAGCAAACGATGTCCTACTATAAGTTTAAGCTGGACAGTTCATAATAACAAACCCTGACAAATGATAAAAAACATCGTCTGAGCAAACCTCTGGACAAGATCGGCTTTCTTGCCGCTTGTTTTCGCTCCTCTACACAACAGCCATCGTCTAAGCTGTGGTACTGTACCCTCTTCAACGTTTTGTCGAGGAAGCTTCGCTCCGGGAATGTCTTCTTCGATAATAACAACTTTTTTGGAAAAACTGGCTTTCTCTGCCGCCATTTTGAAGTTTCGCGCGTCCACCCAAACGATCCCACAATTACCCTACGAGTCAAGTTCGTGCCCAGATTCCTCATAGCTTCTGGAGTGGGGAATTGTAGGGAGAAGCTACATGTTAATCACATCTGAGAGTTAAGGAGTTAAAGTGCACCTAAACCCCCTATTTTTTTTTTTCGCTTAACGAAATAAGCTTATTTTTTGGAGTATTTCTGTGCAAATTTCTTTTATTTGCTCAAATCTTCAATTTTCTGTGCCCAATCAAAATATGGAAAATCGGCCGCCATCTTGCCCCACGACCGAGTTTAAAGCGGAATGGCTCTAGCGGGTAATGTGACGTCAAATCGAGAACACGAAAGTCTGCATTTCACACATGTTTACTTGTTTGGGAAGGTTGTAGTCGATATTGTCCGAAAATATGCCGACTAAGTGTGTTGTAGAAGGATGTAACAACGTGCGAAATTTGCAAGAGAGTATACATTCCTCATACTTCATACATTCCTCATATAACACACCTAGTCGGCATATTTGGGACAATATCGACGACAACCTTCCCAAACAAGTGAAAATGTGTGAAATGCAGACTTTCGTGTTCTCGATTTGACGTCACATTACCCGCTAGAGCCATTCCTTTTTAAACTCGGTCGTGGGGCAAGATGGCGGCCGACTTTCCGTATTTTGACTGGGCACAGAAAATTAAAGATTTGAACAAATTAAAAAATTTTTGCACAGAAATACTCCAAAAAATAAGCTTATTTCGTTAAGCGAAAAAAATTTTTAGGGTTTAGGTGCACTTTAAGAGTGAGTCATGTGAATGCTAAAGTTTCAACTGAACTATGGATGTGCTTCTTGTTGGCCAACACTTTCGTTTGGAAAGGTTTCAAAATAGGGACATATGTCAATTCTTGTCATCTTGAGAAAAATCCTGTGTGGTTAAAGAATGATGATCAGATTACCTCGGCACGGTTAGGTAGTCTATCACTGCAAGCTGTCCTTTCAGATGGCTGAGTGAGAAAAATTTGTTCAGGGAGAAGAGCGAACAGGTCTCTATATCCCTGATTCTACCACAGTCAGTAGTTCAGTACACAAGTCCAGAGTCAAACGTTATCTTAATTATCAAAGAAGAGCTTCTCGAAGTCAGATAAAATTCCAGTGAGAGGCTGCACTCGTTATGGTCTCTAAATCATATGTTTACCTTGGAATTACTTCATGTACACAAGTTTTCCCGTCATAAGTTTGAGGATGAATGTTGGAGCTTCCTCCCTGCGCTTTCTGTGCGAATTTGAACAAACTTGGATTCTCTCTACAGCAAAACTTGGAGATTCACAAAAAGATGGGAATGAGTGATGAACAGCTTGAAGCGTACGAGAAACAGGAGCGAGAGGTTTGTGCCCTTTTCCATAAGTTCTTTAGCAAACTTTATTTACAGTAGATCTTTTCGGTATTGAGTGATTGTTCAAACGTTCAAATACCTGAAGGGTTGCTCAAGAAGGGGGGAGGGGTTGGTGGGATGTTGAAACTTCGAATTGAACGACACATGAGTGACTGGGAAATTGTCTGACTGTTACTTCGGTAAACTCGTTGAGTAGTGAAGGACAAACCAAGGCAACTTAGTAGAGAGGACTCAGTAATTCGATCGATAATGGGCGACGAAGACAGAGAGAAGTTAAAAAAATAAGTTGAGAAAAACAGGAACTAGTCTGGAAGAATGGAGCGCTAGATAACGGACCTGTAAAGTGTGAATGAGGATAGCTTTAAAAATAGGTGAATTGAGTTCAAGCTGTTTAGGTTTAAATCACGGTAGCCTCTTACTCAAGTTGCGTGGACTTTTTCTCGCTAACAGAACAAGTATCGTGACAGAGCAAGAGAAAGAAGAGAGAAGTATGGACAGCCCGAAGCACAGAAAGTTCGGCTGCCTTCCAAGCGAAGAGGAGGAGTAGGAGGGGGAGCAATGTAAGGAGGAGAAACAAGCTTGGCTTCTTATTCATGGCTTTATATTTCAATTTACACTTTCCTCTCCGTTTTACAGATCGTTTGAGCCTCCGGCTGAGCGGATTGGTGGGGAAAATATCGGTAATCAGATGTTAAAGGTATAGTGGGGAAAAATTTTTATGACGGGGGGGAGGGGGGAGTGATGATGACAGCTTGTAGTGCTTTAGTTTTTAAGCCGAAAGTTTTAAAGTCAACATCTAATGAATGTTAGTGGAGGTGTTTCCTTTTCTCGGAGGAATTTTATATCGTTGACCTTTCACGATCTGGCCCTCTCTGAAGGAAGCGTCCTCATGACCCTTTTTCTTCCAGGTTTGACCAATTAGTTATTTCTCATAACAATGTCAATACATTGGACTATCAAGCTGACAGGTGTCAAGGTTAAAGAGGAATATCAATGAAGGGATATTGTTTGATTCAACACCGTAATTCTTAGTAATAACATTATGAGAAAAGTATGACGGAGAGTAAGGAGAAATGATTTTGAAATCCAAGGAGAGAGGAGTAACTTTTACCAAGAAGCACTAATCCTTTGTTTGTGTTCCAAATAAGGCCATGGGCTGGACAGAGGGGAGTGGTCTGGGTAGAGAAGGACAAGGCATCGTTGACCCCATTGAGGTATGTATTATTGAGTTTTTTTGTCATTCGATTGTTTGACTGTTTTGCCGCTACGAACACTTTACATTTTTAGGTTTGGGATACTACAAGATCACTGGGAGGTACTAGGTTCTTCTCCTTCGTTTTCTTTTAGGCCAAAATGAGAAGCCAAAATGCCGGACTCGGTTTGAAGGGAAGCAGCTATGGCGCATCGTCTTCAGATACTTACCAACAAAAACTAAAGAAGCTGGTATGTTTTTTTTTTAATGATAGCTGCGCAAATTCTGCCTTACAAGATGTCTGTGAGATACAATGAAATATATGAAGCTCATATATTTTGTACTGCGGTATTAGATACATATGATGCACGATCCTCGCAGTAGATAGCGCTATTTAAGCAATAGCGAAAATCAGACCTGAAAAAAATCAGGCCTGTACGGGATTCGAACCACTGACCTCTGCGATACTAGTGCAGCGCTCTACCAATTGAGCTAACAAGCCAACTGGGAGCAGGCCGTTAAGTTGATTCGTAATAAACCCGTGAAAGTGATAAATGAGATACAATGAAATATATGAAGTTCATATATTTTGAACTGCGGTATTAGATACGTATGATGCACGATCCTCGCAGTAGATAGCGCTATTTAAGCAATAGCGAAAATCAGACCTGAAAAAAATCAGGCCTGTACGGGATTCGAACCACTGACCTCTGCGATACTA